TAATTAAAATTAAGTGTTTTTTTTTTTAATTTTAATCAAAATACTATGAAAATATTTCTATTTTATTTTTTATATTTTATATTATTTAGATAAAGTTAACTAGTTTCAGATTTCTTTAATATTTGTAATTTAATTTACAATTTGACAACGTTGTTTCTTCGAAGATAGAATTTATCCATATAACCTTCAAAATTGAAATTTTGAATTACAATTTTCTAGAAAAATGGCAATTGTTTTGTTTAATTTAATATAGAAAATATATTTGTGCATCTGGATTCTTTACTAGTAAATGAAAGGAAGAAATATTGCAAATCTGACAGGTTATGAAAGTAACTTAAAAAAACCGACTTCAAAATCGTGCAGATGCCATTACAAATTGAGTTTGCAATTTTATCATAGATCCCATCGTCAATCTTGACCAAATGTATATCGTAACACCTCTGAGGTACCCCCTTTCTAACAAAAAAAGAATTATATAAATCGGACGACGTTGTAAAGAATTATCGCTGAACATACCTACATAAAATAAAAATATTCAGACGAATTGAGAACCTCCTCCTTTTTTGAAGTTTGTTAAAAATATAATAACATTCATTTATCCATAGGTACCTATTTACCAATCAATTACAATGGCACACAACTTATGCAATCAAAATTAGTTATTAATTTACCAAAAATGGATGTACCACAAATAAATCTAGATATTTAGGACTAAATCTTTATCAAATATTTCGTTTCAATATCTAAAACTAATGCATAATAAACTTACCATAACCGGGAGAATAATTTTTTCCGATGTTTAGCACTTATAAAAATAAATCACTGTTTTTTTAAAAGTTTCTTAAAGATCGTCCACTTAACACTTACGAGAAGCCACCATTTTATACAAGTAATTTTTTGATTGGCTGTCTCAGTCTTTTTCAAATCCATAGTGTACTTGATGCAAGTATTAAAACAGCTTTGGCTCGCTGCAAAAACTATACCGATCAAATCAAGGTCAAAATGTATACGGGATGTCACTTTATTTTTAAGAATATTTAAATATATTTTTAATTTTGAATTTCATGCTATTTTCTAGGCGTGGTAATTTTAATACTATTAAAGTAGTATCTATAGATCTCGTTAGAACATGCTACTTCTCTATATTTATCAGACTTCAAAAATTTTGTCGGAATATTTTTTTTATGTACTGAGTGATAATTTTTTACCAAGTGGTCCGATTTCTGTGATTCTTTTTTGTCAGAAAGAGAGTACTACAGGGGTGGGCTCATATAAATTTGGTCAAAATCAAATAATTGGGTCCATGGGAGAATCATCACTCTTCATTTTTAACCGACTTCAAAAAATGAGGAGGTTATCAATTCGTCGCGATTTTTTTTTTTTTTAATGTACAGCGATTATTCTCTAACACGGTGTCCGATTTCAATGATTCTTTTTTTTTTTTTGTTAGAAAGGGGGTACTTCAGGGGTAGTCCCATATAAATTTAGTCAAAATCTAATAATTGGGTCCATGAGAAAATCCTCAAACTCTTCATTTTTTATGTATGTTTAGCGATAATACTTTACCACCTTGTCCGATTTCTATGATTCTTTTTTGTTAGTAAGGGGGTACCTCAGGGGTGGTCCCATATAAATTTGGTCAATATGTGGTGATGGAATCTGCACGATTTTGAAGTCGGTTCTTTAAATTTCCTTTTTTAATTGTTATCAGTCTTCAAAAAATGTGTCGGAATATTTTTTTATGTATGTTCAGCGATAATTCTTTGCCATCTTTTCCGATTTCTATGATTCTTTTTTGTTAGAAAGGGGTGGTCTCTTATAAATTTGGTCAATATCTGAGGATACGATCTATGAGAAAATCAACAAACTCAATTTGTAATGGCATCCATACTTTTATAACTTGAAGGAACTCCTGCTTTTTTTTTTTTCAAAGAAACTTTAGTGAGCATTGTAAACCACTTTATTTGTATAATTAATGATTATGTCGTTACCTTCTAAAGGGTATGCGTAATATCATACTTTTTTTATAGTATCGTGAATTTATACAATCGTTCCCCAAAAAATCTAAAAGGATATGTCATTATACAGGGTGTTTCATAAGAAGTGGTAAATATTTTAACCGTAGGTTCTGGACTTCAAAAAAATTAATGTTATATACAGGGTGTTACAGTTAATTTTTTTTTTGCAATATTTTCATTATTTAACATATTGACTTGAAATTTGGTATTCTTATATTTTTGGGCTAGTAAATCATGTGCATGTTATCAATTATGAGATTAGATAAAGAGGGCACCACCTACACTCTACTGGATGAAGAAAACTATAATTTTTTTTATTCTTGTCCTTTTTAAGTTGTCTTTAACTAAATTGCTAATTTGAACAAAACTCGTATAATTCATTATTTGATAACTGTACATTTTTATTTTTGTTTTCAATCCTACTTTGTTGAAATATTGTAAAGTATATTAAACAGATACTGTTGCTAGAAAATTTTAAATGCACATTTTTCGAAATGGATTGAATTTATGCTATTAAAACAAGTGTGCGTTTTTTTGATCAAATTTACAGTGTGTACCATAAAGATACTTGAACAAATTTTAGAAATGCCAAGACTAAAAAAATAATAATAGTTTTATTCGTCCAGTAGAGCGTACGTCTTTGTCTTATCTCAAAATTCTAATGATTTACTAGACCAAACATAATATAACCATACCAAATAAAGAAAATATTGCAAAAAAAAACGAAAAATGAAGGAGAATGCGCAGTTTTTCCCTACCCCTCAATAGGAGTAAGACGTATGTCAAAAGAAAGATATCAGTAAGTAGAACATTTGTTTTTATTATGACTTCCTTTAATTATCTGTCCATTTTAAGTTATACCGTACTGCATGTGACGAATCACAGTTTTTTTTTTTTTTTTGGGGAGCAGTCTACTTTAACTCCTAAAGTTCTTTTTCTAGTGAGTTCTGGCATAAAATCAGATACTTATAGAGAAAGCCCATGGAAATGCTTGTCATGGTAACGCCTAAACAAAAATTCAAATCCTGTTGTGGGAAAATGCGTAGTTGCCAAGTTATTGAGCATTTAATTTAACTTTAGTTTAGCTAAAATCAGTTATAGAGAAACTATTGACCTGGGAACCCTTGTCATGGTAACGAATAAATAAATTAAAATCCTGTGGTGAGGAAATGCGTAGTTGCCAAGTCATTAATGATCTAATAAGTTATTTAGTTTAGCTAAAATCAGCTATGCAGTTATGGAGAAACTGTTGACATGGTAACGACTAAACAAAAACGTTGCGAAGAAATGCGTAGTTGCCAAGTTATTGATGATCTAATTTCACTTTAGTTTAGCTAAAATCAGCTATGGAAAAAGCAGTTGCAATAGGAACGCTTATAATAATAACGACTAAACAAAAACACTAAATCCTGTGGCGAGGAAATGCATCGTTGTCAAGATAATGACGATTTTATTATTTTTTTTTTCTAATCTAACACGTACGTGTAATATTTTTATAACATAGCTCCAATAGATATTCATATTTTATATGGGAAAAATCATATATTATAGTCTGGACCGACACGCATATATAAGAGAATAATTTATGTGGTGTGCCTCAAGTGACGGTATTAGACCCTTTACTGTTTATTATAAATTTGAATAATTTGTTCCAAGTTCCTGGGGAATGTAAAATAATCTCTTTTGCTGATGATACGGTGACACTTTTCAGTGATAAAACGTGGGAAGACTTAAAAATTAAAATCGAAAATGAACTACCGAATATCAAAATTTGGTTTGGTCATAGACTTTTGTCAATAAACTTTAAAAAACTGTTTACCTATCTTTCACAAGTTACGCATCGTACCTACCTAATCCAAGGATTTATCCCATTTACATTTTTATACAATTATAGTCACATTTATAGATTTTGAACACTCAGATTACTTTCTATAATCTAAGCTGAAACCTTTCTCTCTACTTGTCATTAATAGTGAAATTTATAGGTCTTGAAAAATATGTTATACCTTGTTGATAATTTACTCAAACAGATAACTCTACCATTTACATAAAAATTGCAAATAACTCAAAAAATATTTCGTAAAGTATCCACCCTCTATGTGTTACAAATGGCTTTATATTCGTTCTAATGTAACTGTCGTATTAATAATTATAATTGTATTATTATGATTTACCACGTAGAGGTCCTTTGGTAAGGGATACACATGGTGAATATAATCCTCGACTGCATCATATGATGTACTCGGGTTTCAATTTGTTTTTATATTATTAAGAAGTAATAATTACTATTATTTACCTGTAATAAGCACTACAATAACAAAATATAAGCACTGACCTATCATGTAAATACTTACATTTAGGATGATATAACTATGAACGGACAAGTAATTGAGATGAGTCGAAATAAATACAAATGTTCTCCTTAAAAAGATCTTTTATTTGGCATATAACTTATTCAGTCTGAGGGTGAGACTGTTTCCATTACATTTCTGACCTTTTAACTTTAACAAGATGGATCTTAGACGTAGATAACATTTAACCCAGTGTTATTTAACAAAATATCAATATTTTAAGGTCCTAGACCTACTGTTAAAATATTTACCATTCCTTATGAAAGACCCTTTATAAAATTTAAAAACGAAGTAAAAAAGCACTTTCTAAAATATTATTTTTATTCAGAAGTTGAGTTATTTAATGCAACTTTTTTTAAGCTCTATTGGTTGGAAGAGATTAACTGCTGAACTACCTTAAAGTGCTTGACATGTTTTTTTATGAAGATTGAATGTTTATAGTCTATATTTTTCTTGTTCTAATTTTGTGATTTACAATTTTTATACCTAGACCATGGATTTTAAACGCTAACAAATCGTTGTTTACGCTGTCGAATGTCTTTTAGAAATAGATACAGACAGAGTTATATTATTTCAATACATTCGATTAAAAATAAATATTTTTGAAATAATGCATCAATACATTTTTCAGAAATCTGAGAGTCATGTGAGAGTCAGCTTCTTACCAAATGTCAACGGAGGAAAAGACAATAAATTAAATAAAATTGTACTTACCGCTTTACAAGAATTAACTGCAGATAAGGCTCTTTCTTATGTAATTTCCCTATTAAGAGGTGACGCTGCTGCTCAACAATTGGAACGAGGAGAAGACTTAGATATTCCTGTAAGTCTTTTAGTTATATTTTTTTAATTCCTCTTTTATACCAAATAACTTTACTAATCTTAAATTTACAACGGTCTATCCATAATAATTAATATTTGTTTTTAGTCTGAATTAAGCTCAAAATTGAATTCGCAAGAACTGAATCTTAAAATGTTACGAGTATACAGCCAAAGGGTATTACGACTAAAAGAAGGTCAACGTGCTGTCGTAGCTAATGGCAGGGTTCTGGGACCGTTGGACGACAATGAAGGATTTACTTTAGAGGATTTCAATCTCCTCGAAAGATATAGTTCCAGTAGTTATTTGGAAAAAATCACAGCCGCTTTGGATAAAACTTCGGATGAAGAAGAAGGTAAAATTCCCATTTTTAAGATAGTCAAAAATCGTTCTCTTGAGAGTTTTCGAAATTATATTAATTAAAAAACATTTTTAGACATAACCAGCAATTCTTTCATGAAGATCGTCTCAATTCTCATTGCTAGATCCCAACCGAAATCGAGATTCGACATTGTTTTCTTCGGCGACGAACATTCTGTAATTAAAATTCCCGCCGTTCATCCAGACCGAGTGGCTTTCGACATTGCTGCGATCGTCGATCCGGTCTCGCGCGGCGCCCAGAAATTGGGACCCATCCTGCAAGTGTTGCATGAAGTACTTAATTGTAATATTAGGGTGTTTTTGAATAGTGTCGAGAAGAATAGCGATATGCCAGTTAAAAGGTAAGGGTAAAATGGATTTGTGTAATAGAAAGCGTACTCTTGTTAAATGATCATTTTGCGCCATTAATTTATGTCTTCTAAGCAGATGAATATTTTGTTGTAATGACCGATTACACACTCGGTATACATAAAAAAATATAACATTTTATTTCCATGATTAGAGATAATAATTCCGTGATGTCACTGATGTCAGTTTTGATGTCCTATATATTTTACAAATAATTGGTTTAGAAACTAAAGAATTTATTGTTATTTTGAATTTTATAGAAACTGATAGTCTTATTAACAATCAAAACCAACATCTTTTTTTACGTTCTATCTGTATCTGTAACATATGGAGGGTGGATTACCCCACGGCACTTAGGCCTAAAGGCCTCATTAGGCCCATTGTGCATCCTCCCGAGATGATAGGCATCTCCTAGCTCGTGAGCCAGCCTACAGATTTAATGTAGTTGAGAACGTCGCCAAGAGGTGCTTCTCTTATATCGGCCGGTGTTAGCCGATACTCGCCGAACACAAATCTCCCAATAAATGAGAGCTTCGAGCAATCGTAAGGATATGCTGGATGGTCTCATCTTCTTGTTCGCACCCTCTGCAGAGTACGGATTCTGACAGCCCCATGATATGGAGATGCTTTCGTACTTGGCAATGACCAGTCAGAATGCCTGTGACTAGGTGCAGATTCTGTCTAGTCGTAGTATTTGTTTGCTGCAGTGTTGTCAGGATAACTTAAGAGCTCCCTGGCAACTCTACAGTTTCTTGTTTCATCCCATCTTTGCTTGAATTTCGCAAGAGAATGTTCTTTGATTAGGTCTGTCACTACCGATTTTGTCAGGACAATAGAAGGGCCAGGTCCAAAAAGTATTTGGTTGGCTGCTTTCTTGGCTAGTGAATCAGCAAGACGGTTACCTTTTGATGTGGCGTGACCTTTAATCCATCTTAAGGTGACCACATTGTTGATGGATAGCTAAAAATTGAACCGTTTAGATTTTTAAGACCTAAAATTTTGGTTTTTATTATCCAGGGTTCCTGAATGAGTGCTATTGCATCTCGCAACTCACCAAGGCGGCGGCATAATGTTCCCGTAGCCACCTTTTTGTGCTGCAAGTTACATTGTATAATCGTTACCTCTTTTATTGCTTCCCGGTCCTCCGTTGAAAATTGGGCAGCAAGATGGTTATTTATTCGACCATCCCTTCCTCCGAAAGTGGGGAGGGGCTGGTCTCTTTTGGCTTCTCGGAGTTTTCTTGCTGGAGGTCATCGAGTGCCATTTTTTCTGGCTCGACATCCTTCACGGTTGGCTTAAATTGGGGGAAAGAGGGTCCTTTACCAAGGAGTCTTCACTGGGCTCCGCTTCAGCCTCTTTTTCGACCTTTGGCCTTATAATCAATGAGGTGAACGCATAGCTCATCCTCATTGATTTGGCCTTTAGGGTTCCCATGTCTTCGTCTCCGATGCCGAAGACGAAGAGATGGCCCTTAGGGTCTTTTTTGATTTCATGGTGGAAGGTGCACCATTTCGCATGCAAGTTTGAGTTTTGCCCCTCAAGTCGCCTGAGCACAACCTCTTTCTCGTCAAGGTCAGCTTGCGCTTTCCCTGGGATCCAGAGAGAGGCTTGGGGAGGTTTTTAAGGTTGGTACCTTGGTTTTTACGTACTATATGATATACCTATTTTTTAAGTTTTACCTGATGATTCCTCAAGTCTAGAAGTTCTCAGAGTATTGTAGGAGGTTTTATAATGTGCCCAACGCAGCATTCTTTATTTCATTTTTGTAGATTATGTTGCACAGGATTTCTCAAAGATTCTTTCTGGTGAAGCTGGTGATGCAATTTATAAAGTCACCAGGTGGAATCAATGATTGTTACATCAGGTGATGTAACTGTTTGGACACCTTTGTGAAAGTTGGCGTCACAATTCTTCTGCTCATAATTGGTTACATCCGGTGTGACTACGTTTAAATTATAGTTTGCTACTAAAAGCTCATGTCTGCACAGAGGCGTATTCAATTTTTATTTGCGGTTAAAAATATGTATGTTTTCAATTTTCTACCCCTCTGCCTAAAGAAAAGCAAACCGTGAACTTGTTTTTATTAAATTTTTCACTAAATTTTATTTATAACAATGTTTAACTTTTATTTGATTGAATGTAGGTTTGTTGCTTTCTGAAGCCGTTCCTTAATGTCTTGAAAATGGACTATTTTTTTTTTGGAATATAGTTTTCATCTTCTTCCAGCGACATGGATTATTTTCTTGAAAATCCGGTTGGAAGAACCATGAAAAGATGTGTTTTTTTTTTCTATTGGTTAGTTCGTTGTGATGTATCCCTTTATACGCTTAATGATTCCGGAAGTATAGAAGTTCTCCTAATTCTTGTAGAAGGTTTAAAATAATGTGCTTGATGCAATAATAATAATAATAATAATAAAGTTTACAAAATTCTTATAATTTTAAAAATGATCATTATCCCAAAAAATTTGTTAGCACACTACCGCAATCTCTTGACTCATGCCAAAGTGAGCTAGTTAAAAGATATTAATGGAATGATTTCACAAAGATTCTTACTAGTGAAGTTGGGTAATGTGAATCGTTAAATCATGCGCTGTCTTAGATTGGAGCAATGAAAATTACGTCCTGTGATATCCGATGATGTAACTCTTCAGACAACTGTGTGAAAATTGGCATCGCCATTTTCTACTTATAATTTCTTCGGTTAAGAAGAAAACTATCCTGTGTCCATTTAAACTATCCTATGCCCTTTTTTGAAAAATAAGTTATTGACATAATAAGTCCTATTTAATTTTAGCTTATGCAATACTATCTAATGCCCTAAGAAGTTGTATAAGGAACAAAAATTGCTTATAAGTGTAATACTCATAACTAATTGTAACGAACTTAGGATAATATTCTTCTCAACCGACGATTTGTTACTAAGAGCTCGTGTCTGCACAGAGGCGTATTCGGTTATTATTTACGAATAAAAATATGTATGTTTTTAACAATATTTATATCAATGATTTTGACTAAATGCAGAATTCACACTAATAACAAAGTAAAGACATTTCTATGAAATTATTTAATTTTCAGCTTTTATCGATTTGTTTTGGAACCTGAAATTCAATTTGGAGAAGACGGTAAACAGCTACTTGGTCCTATAGCAAGATTTAATAATATGCCAACGTCACCTTTGTTAACGCAAAATTATCACGTACCTGAAAATTGGTTGGTAGAGGTAGTTCGATCCGTCTACGATTTGGATAACATCAGATTGGAAAATGTCGAAAGCAATGTGCACAGGTAAGTTTTTAGTTAACAAAACAGAAGATATTACTGGTGTGTAACTATCTTCTAATAAAAATGGTGGTATACCACTTTCTCTACCAGAAAGATTGAGTCATATGCATTTAGTATTGTATCAAGTGGCTTTCTTATGGTTATGCCTGGATTATTAAAAGGTGTTTTACTTTTTAGTGAATACGAGTTAGAATACCTGCTTCTCGAAGGCCACTGCTTCGAACAAAACACTGGCAGTCCTCCAAGAGGTCTGCAAATAACGCTCGGCACGGAAAACCAACCGGTCATTGTCGATACCATCGTTATGGCTAATTTGGGTTACTTCCAATTGAAAGCCAATCCCGGCGCTTGGGTTTTAAGGTTAAGGCAGGGCAGGAGTGCCGATATATACGATATTGTTAGGTATGTTTGATCTAAAATTAAAAATAATAATAGTAATGTTGATACATACTTTTTAGTCATGATGGAAGTGATACTCCCGAAAATTCAACCGATATTAAAGTGCTTATTAGTTCATTGAGATCTCACATCGTTAAATTGAGAGTTCAAAAGAAACCTGATAAAATCAATGTAGATTTGCTTTCCGAAGAAGATAACAATTCTGGTATTTGGAATTCGATAGCCAGGTACAGTTTTTTTTGTTTGAAATGTAACAAAACTTATTTCTTCTTCATTTTTAGTTCCTTCAAGGGCAACGAAGATGAACCCGATGAAAAATTAAACATATTTTCTCTAGCTTCCGGTCACTTATACGAAAGATTCCTAAGGATTATGATGTTGTCTGTTCTAAAGCACACAAAGACACCTGTCAAGTTTTGGTTTCTGAAAAACTATCTCTCTCCTCAAGTAAAAGTAAGTTATACTATTTGATTGATTATTAACATAATAATAGATATTTTTTCAACGGATTTACAGATGGTTAAAGATGACAAAAACCAACTCTATAAAAATAACATCACACTGTTTAATAAAATTTTCTACACTGTACGAAGACGAAATTAAAATCCTCTACAATTTCTATTAAAACGTATATCTTAAATCAGGTCTTTATACGTGCCAACGTCTAGACAATTTCATTACTTCAACAGTGTCACTCTATCTCGCCCTGCTCATAAGATTGTTTAAAGTGAAAAAGAGAAAGGGCGTACATTTTTTTAACGTTGAAATACTGAAATGTTACATCATTTGATAGCATAGATATAGACAAAATATTTGATAGCGACATTAAAATGCTGACCAGTCGGGCAACAGCAATGATATCGTTTCTCTCGTTAACATAGTTTAAGTTTTAGAATATATTTTCATTCTTGACCAAGCTTTCTTACAAAAATATCGTTGAGTATCGCAGTTTTTGAGCTTGTAACAAAACTGTGCACAATTTTTGATGTTAGAAAATATTTAGACTGCCATTCGAATCAGATCATCCAGCTACCTATAACCAACTACAAAAACAAATACCTTAATCAACCATTTTTTAGAAGATTATTGCTAGGATGAAATCCTCGCACCTTTTTTACTTGGTTTCTGTTTCTTAGGCTTTCTGAAAACAAGGTCGAAAAATTCAAAGCTTTTCCAGGATTTGCCGGAAGGTTGTTCCTAGTTTGTCTCATCTTTAGTGCTCTTTGAATGAGTTCAAAGATTTGATGTTTCCCTTAGATGATGATGAACATGTCATCAATGTAACATTTGGGTGTAGAGATCTCGGTGGTTCAGATAGTAATTATTCATTAATGAGCTTAACTGGAAACTCAAGCAGCCATTTTTTATCGATGAGAATTATTAACCTCATGAATCTCTTAATAACATAGCTGTTTATTGATAATCTGGCGTCCTAGATCATTGGATCTAGCACCTGAGAATTTCTCACTGAATCAATTTATAGACACGAATAAATAACTATCTTTGTGCGAAAATTAAGCCAATGATTTTAATGGTATATGATCATCTATCTATGAAAATTTAAAATTGCGTTTTTATTTTTAGGACTTTTTGCCCTATATGGCTAAAGAATACGGATTCGAATACGAACTAGTACAGTACAAATGGCCCAGATGGTTACACCAACAAACCGAGAAGCAAAGGATCATTTGGGGTTACAAAATACTATTCCTCGACGTACTTTTCCCGTTGGACGTTAAAAAAATCATTTTCGTAGATGCGGATCAGGTAATTTTCTTTTAGATTAGTCAAACTGAATTAATTAACCCTTTAAGTGTCTCTGAGATAATAATTTCCCATCCCATATAAACAAAATCTACGGAAGTTTTAATGGGAACTATATGTCCCAATTTTCTGACAATTTAGTTTAGAAACATTTATGATTTTAATAGGGATTGTCTAATTATTTAATGTAATTTGAAACAACACTAAGTGGGCGCTATTCTTCCCACTGGTCTCTCCATGACAGTACTTTGTGGCAAGTACAGGCAGATTATATTTTACTAGTAAGAAATGAATAAGACATTTTGTTTTTATTTCATAGTAAACAGTATTACACTAAATAAATTTGCGCACTCAAGTTAGGTGAATTTTTATTTCATGTTGTTTTTTTGTATAAATATTTTGACCATTAGATATGCATCCTATGGGTTTGTTATAAAAGAAAATACATATTTTTCGTAAAAAAAACATAGGTTAGAAAATTTTTTGGTTCAAATTTTGACTGTTGAATGTAGAAAAATTTTGGAACATTAGGGGTGAGATATAAGGTTCACTAAAACCCATTTGGCCCTGTTTACTTGCTTATGTTTTTGTTTATTTGTAGAAAATAATGTGGAGCTCAAAAATGTATCTGACAGAAGCAGATATATTATCTTCCCAGTGAAACTTTAGTGTTCGTTTTTCTGGGATATGTATTTCCCAAAAACATTATGACTAAATATTTTACATTTTTATTTCTCAGACATCATTTACGAGATGTAAATAAAAAATATGAACCCCCAGGTCTCTTTTTAAAGGGTTAATATGATTTTATTTCCTGTTAGGTCGTAAGAGCTGATTTGACAGAACTCCAGCAACTTGATTTGGGTGCCGCTCCGTATGGTTACACGCCCTTCTGTGAATCTCGTAAAGAGATGGAAGGATTCAGATTCTGGAAGAGCGGTTACTGGAGGAACCATCTACAAGGAAGAAGGTAAAAACAATACTTTTGTAAAAAAACTCAAAAATAATATACATTAATTATTTCAAAATGTATCCATTACGGTCTTGTCTAACTTAAATATTGTGTTCAAAGTTGTCACCCCGCATGTATCCCAGATTCGCTTATTATATTATTTAATACTTAACTGTTATGTTACTTTTGTTTAATAATTATTAACTCACCTTGTACAGGGTATCTGTTAGCGACTGTATCTGAAAATATTTGGAAGAATTTAAAAAATAAATAGAAAAAACACGATTTTTATGCCAATATCTATTCATTGTGTCATTTTGGTTTTTTAACGTCCCCTAGCGAGATAAAAAACTGTTATGTATTGTAAAGTGTGACACCTCATTTGAAAGCTAATTTTGTTAATAATTTAATGCACGCCATAACAAAACAATTGATTAAAATATGAACTTAATAGAAAAACCTTGCAGAGCTCTATTGAAGAATTTGCTTTACCAAGCGTAAATATTCTATAAAATAGAAGAACGACGCTCTATAAAGTGTCCCCCCTGATGTTCCGACTATGCCCAACATTTAATTAGTTCACCACAGGATGGTAAAGGTCACTTTTACAATTTTCTAACCCTTTTTCAGTTAACCGACAATGATAAGTCGTTAATTAATAAAAATATAAGTGGCCCAAGAACAGAGCCCTGCTTAAGTCCATAAAAATACCTACACTTCTTTTGTTTTTATTTAAATTATCATAGAGGTAATTAAGGAAGCTGTTAACGGCAGTTTGAGTAGATCGACCTTCCCTGAACCCATGCTGATTCTCATGAAATACAATATATTAGACGGCGAAGTCTACCATTTTCCTAAACATAATACGTATACCATTTGTAATCCAGTTAGATTTGCATTTTGCTTTATGTTTAATAGTGACTAGTGGAAAACATACATTCATATAATAAAAGAGAGTTTCAGAAAACACTCTGAAAGCATCTTCAATATTTACGGTTTGATATATACCATTCCAGGATTCATTCATGATTTGCTGTAAAAATAAATTGTAATTTTCATTATTAAATATACGTTTCACTGATATTTTTATAGATTCATCTTTACTATTTAACTTAAAGACAGCTAATTGACCAGAATGATCAGATAGACCATTCTTCAGAACAGCTGTTGAGTCTAAACAAAAACCATCACCAACATTGCTACAAATATAGTCGAGGCCATTATTTACTCTGATAAACTCTTTTATATGGCTTAAAAGGTTGTAAGAATAAAATAAATCAAAAAGTTGGTACTTCGACTATCACTAGTTAAAAAATTTATATTAAGATAGTCTGAAGGATAAGATAGGACAAATATGGTCGAAAATACTATGATAAACATTAAAGTTAGTTTTCATATTTGAATTTGCTTCTATATAATGGTTACATTTAGACACAGAACTTGTACATTCATCTGTGAGATGATCTGGATCACAACACTTTGGGCACTTTTGCACACATCACATTTATCTCTATGATTTTCAAAGCCACCACAATTAAAACATCTATAGACAGCTACATAATCAAAGACACGACATCTTGCCCAATTAACATACAGAAAACCTTCTTTTAGTATATTTTCACTTGACTGTGGATCACAAACAATTATAGCCATGAATGTAGACTTCAGTTTTTTAAAAACTTTAATAGATATATTAGAATCACCATCATTTAAAAAACCATTCTGCTTTTTAATACAATTTATTAAATCTGCAGGATACATTTCATTTTCTATATCCACAACTTTTATGGGGGATTTTTTTTAAATCTGGTGACACAATATTATGACAATATCTTAATCCTACAATATTTCCAGGTACCACATTTCCGCTTTATATGTAGTAGACCTGAAGAGATTCAGGAGAATAGCAGCAGGCGATAGACTTCGAGGGCAATACCAGGCCCTCAGTCAGGATCCCAACAGTCTGTCTAATTTGGACCAGGATCTTCCGAACAATATGATCCATCAGGTGGCGATAAAATCGCTACCTCAAGAATGGTTGTGGTGTGAAACTTGGTGTGATGATGCTTCGAAGGAGAGAGCCAAGACTATAGATTTAGTGAGTGTTTTATTTTGAAATATGCAATATTATTTTTATTTTTTAAATAATTTTAGTGTAATAATCCTATGACCAAGGAGGCTAAGCTAACAGCGGCTGTGAGGATATTGCCCGAGTGGAAAGGATACGATGAGGAAATCAGAACGTTACAGAAAAAAATTGATTCGGGATTATTAGATGCAGATCCTGCCGAGTCCATTGAAGTTAGTGAAAAAGGTAAATAGATTTGAACATAGCGATAAGATAAATTTTGTTTATAATAATTTATCAGCACTGATAAATCCTTTAACTAGCTCAATTTCGTATAAATCAATTCTGGACGTCAAAACCAAACAGTATTAAGTCCACCTTTTTTCATTTTCAAGTTTTTGGTTACTCTTGCTCCTTCCATTGATGCTAAGTATTAAGTCCTAGTAATTTTAGTTTTACAGATATACTTTTAAAACCATTAAGTCCAATTAAAAATACAGGCAGTCAAAAGTTTCAACAAGCTCTCCTGTAAAATTTTGTAAAATGGACTTAATACTCTTTGTCTCTAAGGTCCAGAATTACAAAAATATAAGATCGTGAAAAAGTGTACTCTTTGGTATACAATTCATAGTTTGAAGGTTCCTTTCGCAGTATCAAAAATTTTAGTGAGAATAAATAAAAAAACTTACCTTATAACATCTTTTATATTTTCTTGTAATCCCCTTTTCGTCATTATTAATCAATCAATCAATCATAGTTTACATGTTTTAATTTTTCTATATATTTACTACAAAAATAATAAAAATTAAATTATATACATGGTGAATTCTAAATCGATTCTTTTTTATAACTGTGTTTAGAGGTCGTTAAAATAAACGTTCTTTTCAAGTAATTTTTTTCAAAAAACTAAAAAATAAGACAAATAAAAATCTAAATCTAGGCATGAACTTGTGTATAAAGTTAGACTAATTAATAAGTCTGTGTTTTTATCTATTTTTTCTGTGTTTTTATCTATTTTTTCTGTGTTTTTATCTATTTTTTCTGTGTTTTTATCTATTTTTTTTTGTGTTTTTAATGAATCACAATTTCATTATGTACCGGTTATTGTTATTCAGTAGTGTGTTTATCTTGTTAAATTGTTCATTATGGTAAATTGAAAATGAGTGCGTTTAGATACATTTTAAATGGTATCAAGGAAGATTCAATAACAAGTACACGGGTGATTGCAGATGAGGTGTGGTAAGTCAAACAAAAGTGTAGGCAACATTGCGGGAAAATCAATCATTGTATCTCTTTCACGTTCCACGTAGAGTTCAGTTTTGTAAATAGTTTTTACTATAGGATGTTATTCGTGGTTGTCAAACTTCAATATTCATTCATTCAAGCTATCCTATGCTATCTCATCTGCAATTGGTAAGAACGTATGTCTTGATGAAAGAAAATGAATAGTTAAGCATGCTCGTAATTTTGACAGATCATGAAGTTGTCAGTGACTCCTTCATTCTCTTAAATGTTTATGTCATAACTATAAACAAAAATAAAGGTTCTGGTCAAAAAAATAAGATAGTTTCTTTTATATTTTTTCCTTATAATTGAATAGTGCAGTTTTTTATTTAATTTTTTTTAAATTTAAATAAATTATATCAATAATTGAGGAATAATTCATTGTTGCTATTGTAATTTTTTGTTTCTATGCATGTTTTATAATCGTGACCTATATATTTTTTTATTTTATCAAAAACTACATGTCAAAACGAAATAAATGAGTACCTGAAGAACTTTGTAGGATAATTTTTAAAAAAAAAAGTGTTAAAAAAATTAATACCTTGAAATCTTTTGGATTTTTTTATCTAAAAAAAATTGTGTCTATTTAAGATACACAAAGGTATAATTTTACCAAATTTCATTTAATTATTTTTGCAGAAATAAAAAATAAAAACAAAAAAATCGAGCGAACTTTTGTATTTTTATCGAAAATTTTGAGATTATGTTAAAAAGCTGTATTTTTTAACCCCCTTAAAACTTTAATTCAACTCACCTTCCTCCATGTTGTATTCTTCTTTATCTTTATTATTTATAAGCTCCTTCTACCAAAAAAAACTATTTCACCTTCCCCATGTTGCATTCTTCTTTATATTGATTATTTATAAGCTTCCTCTACCAAAAAAAAAAACAAACTATTTCGATCATTATATTAATTTTATTTTATTTTTTGTTACAGAAAGGACTGATATACATTCAGAATTATGATAGGTAGAGTAAAATTATGTACATATTTTTTAATTGATTTGTAAGAGTGATATTTACAGGTCTTTAAGTTATGTATATGGTTAAGATTAAGATAATAAATAAATAAGTTTCAATCAAGCTGTTTTTATTACATTTTCCTTGTTTATTTTATTGTAAACTAAAAATAATAGTTAAAATGAATATTTTAAGGACCATGGTGGAATATTTTTTAGTATTTTGAAATGTACTATCGGTTTTTTCTTACTCTTGAATTTTAGATAGTGTATTGATACATACTAGAATAAATAGATATAAATACGTACTGCTCTCGAAAGTAATGCATTCTCTTAAAGTATACACGTAGAGTACAGGGTGGGCAAATTTCGATGTTTTAATAGAGAATCTCTTTAACTATAAATGGTAAAGAAAAATGGACCTCCTATCCCCGGGGCTCTCCCAGAGCAGTTTTAAACTGGGTGCGGAGCACCCATAGCACAACGTGGACAAAAGTGTCAATAAGTGGCCCAATTGGTATAGCGACAGGATGCCTCGATAAAATATTATTGTTCGTAGCTGTATTTTTTGTGATAAGTCATAGACAGCGCGTTGAACTTGGACTTAAGGGTTTATTATTCTTGGTGTATAAAACCCTATGCCGTCAAAAAAGAACGACTAATAGTGGTCTATAATTAACTTAGCAAAAACGGCCTAAGCCACAAATGTATGATGCCTAACTGTATACCTACATAGTGCAAAATAGCCTAAGCCACATTTTAATACTGTTTAAAAGATGAACCTACTAGTTTAACTTTGGTATAAAGAATTATTTCAACTGGAGTTGCGTTAAATTGGCCTAATTCACAATTATTGTGGGATAGGGCGTTTTCCCTAAGTACTTTTAGTCCGTCAGATAGTGACAGGTTTAGGTGCCCAATTTTCGCATGCAAGCCTTGAAGAGGGTTGAAAAGTACATCGATTTTAAGAAGAATGAAAGAAAATTTACGAGTGGCTGCTGGGGATAACACATGGAAAATTCGATTTTCCCTAACAAAAACGAAAGGTTATTTGTTTCCCATTTTTCCACGCAAGCCGTTTTCACTATATGATTAATTAATAGAACTAGGCTTCGGAAAACCAAAGGCTTTAATGTTGCAAGTGGCTAAAGCTTAAAATAAGGGTGTAATCTTCTAAGGAAAAATCGAGTTTTTGCCCGATTTTTCCACACAGGCCCAATGAATATATGAAAACGTACATCGTCACTAGTTCGAAAAACATATTTTTTTGAATGACCCGAATGTACAATTGCATTTTGGGGTCGGAAAATTTTTCTGATAAGGAAAATCGAATTTTCCATGTGTTATCCCAAGAGCCACTCGTAAATTTTCACTCTACATCGATGTATTTTTCAACCCTCTTCGAGGCTTGCATGCGAAAATGGGGCACCTAAATCGGTCACTATCTGACGGTCTATTTGTGAAGGTGAAAAAGTTTGATGTGGTTTGTTTTGTTTAATTATTATTTTTGGTGTTGAATTTAACAATATTAGTTGTTGATGTGTTAAGTTCACAAAAACATGAACACTTCATCTGACATGATCGGTAAGATTGAAAAACTTTCAACATGGTACTTTATTCTTAAACAAAAAACAGAAAAGCTTAAAATAGGATAAACTGAACGTTTTAATTTACAGTGATTGGGTGTGTATATTCAGGCGAAAATAGTCTTACCGAATTTCAACATTGGCCAAAAATGTATACTCATAAAAAAAAGCAAAACTTTCTGAATATTTTCCTCCGCTGTATCTCACGATTTTTACAAAAACTTAAAGTCAGCAGAAGATCTGTCTGAGGATTTTATTTTTATGGAAGAAGACAAATTTGATGTTGATTATTTACGTGGGAATTATTTTTCATGATTACTTTCTTATATTTTTTGTGAGAGAAAACAGTAACTTCTAAAAATTATTTTTTTTTCGTACCATGACCTAACAAATTTTAAAACATTTTAAAAAAAGCAAAATGGTCTAAACAACTTTTTCCAAAATATTTCATTTTTTAATTTTCTAACTTGTTATAACCAAAATAAGCAATTTAACATAAAACATATTTTTCTAAATTTCTTAAAATGGGATAAGTAGGACGCTTTATTTTTCAATAATATTGTTTTAAACATTTCTCAAAATAAGCTTTTGGGGATGAAGCCGCTTTCGAGCTGATATCCTCAATTATCAAGACAAGAGCTATGTACATATGCCATTGAGCAAATTCTTGAGGGGAGAAGGGAGAACATTTAAAAGTTGCTCCCGATCAAGCACAGTTAGAAGAAAACGTTCATTTAGAGTCAGAAAGAGCTCTCTAGTAGTGCTGGCGAAAAACCAGGTTATCGACCAAAAAACGCTAAACTGTTTAACAATCAACATCGAAAGTATATTTTGGAAATAGTCCATAAATTTAGGGAAACGGGGTCAGTAGCTAACAAATAACGTGAAATGGAAAAAGCTGTAGTAAATGAAGCTACAGAGGTGGCGATTTAAGGGCATGTTGTTCAAGAACCCACATTGAGTACAATACAGTTGGCAATAACATCTGCTATTAAGAGAAGTAGCATTCAGAAGATATTGAAAAAACACAAGTTTCATCCCTACAAAATACATCTGGTAAAAGAACTTAACGAATACGATTTTGATAGACGATTACAATTTTGTGAAGTTATGACTAAACGGGCAATAAATAATCAACAAATTCTTTTTAACGTGTGTTTTTCAGACAAATGCACTTTTTTTTCTAAATGGTACGGTAAATCGTCACAACTGTCGTTATTGGTCCGATTCAAATCCCAGAATATTTTATGAAGTGCATACGCAACATCCCGAAAAACAATGTTTGGGCTGGCATTTTTGGTAACCGTTTAATTGGCCCCTTTTTTTACCTGCAACTTTAACCGCAGAAATGTATTTGGAATTATTAGCAAACGCCATTTATCCAGCATTATTGGAATTGATTGAGAATGACGATCAGTACATAGCAACCAACTTAATATTCTAGCAGGACGGTGCGCCACTGTTCGTCAGTATTCGGATCAAAAGTTTCCAGGATCAATGGATCGGAAGAAGAGGAAGTATTGAATAGCCCCCACGGTCTCCGGAACTGTGCCCGTTAGATTTTTTATGGGGCCACTTGAAAACTAAAATGTATGCCACCCAGCCGACATCACTGGAAAATCTGCGACAACAGATAATTGATGAATTTCATCAAATCACCCCCACAGATGCTTCGAATGTCCGAAAGCGTTTTGAACAAAACCTCTATTATTACATGGAGGCTCAGGGTCAGCATTTCCAGCATTTACTGGTAAGCTTTTACAGAAAATAAAGATCGTTAAAAGATCATGTCGTTTTAAAACTCGGGGGTTATAATCTATGTAAATATACTTTGAAAATAAGCTATTATTCGACCCCTCTTTCTATTTAAGATTTTAGGGGTAAGTTTCATACCCGCTAGAGGGTTTCCGTTCAGGGGGTGAAACTACCAAAAAAATATTTCCCCCTAAAATCAAAAATTGACGGATCCAAGCGTTTTTTCGTAAATGACCTGGGGTGCCCAAAATTGGGTCTGTTTTGTTTTCAAATGACCACCCTGTTTATATACAATACTCCATTATATGTGTAATAATAAATAATCAAAAATCTCCTTTTAAATTCATAATAGTTAATAAATGTTTTATACTGTGTTTCTACTGAATACCAGTGATGGCTACACCGAGCATATAGGGATGCCAAATGCCGTATGCTAGATATCCTGATTTAGGTGGTAGCCTCCTGCCTATCCAGCAATTGGACATTTGACAATACATTTTTTTTTTCAAGAAAACTTTCATAAAATCAACGCTTTAAAATAGCTTTTTAAGTGCTTTTAAAAAACGGTGGCGTCTTTAAGCGAGGTGTGGAAGAGGGGGGAGGTGACAGCCCCCATTTTTCGCATAGAGGCCGGGCACCCAAAGCAATTTTTGAGTTCCGGCGCCTATGGCAGTAGTTCCTGAAAGCGATATCAAAATGATCTTACCAAAACCTAATTAGCATGGCAAAACAAGAAGACAAGTGGATCTGATTTCATTTGAACTTAGCTTCACCAATATTGAAGTTCGTTAATGAAACATCAATTTATCAGTTACACCTAGTTACTATTGAGTTAATAGTTTACTTTAATTTGCAGCGTTTTCATTTTTGTGTTTGTAAAAAATAAAAACCTATTTTTAATTGTTTGTTTCTGCCGTTTCATTGTACCCCACTAGTGTTCCACAGTGAAACAAAATTCAGTTTTTTTTTAAATTGTTCTACAAAAAAACAAATCACATTTGCATCTAATTTTGATATTTTATTATAAAGGTAAATGTAGTGTTAATTAAAATTTTTGATAAAAGTGGGATTTTGGTTTTGTATGTAGATTCGAGAAAAAAAATTTAAAAAGTGTTTCATTGTGGAACACTCCCTATTGTGTTCACTATTTTTTTATTTTAGGTCTAGAGATCTATAGCTATTGTACTTGTAAGTTGTTAACTTGTCTTTTTAAATATAAATAGATGTCAGGTAAGTATCTATCAACTTATATTTTATTTCTATTATTTTCAAGATTGTATTTATTTAAGTTTCTGCTAATACGCCATATATGATTGGTATATAATGCAGATAGAAATTTGATTTCTGCATGATCGGAGTAGCTGAGCTGCACATTAGAGTAAATATCTAAGGTTGCATTATTTTTAACATAATTTACAAGAAAATTTGAAGTAAAGAAATTAAAACCACAGAGTGATGCATATAACGGGATATTTTAAAGCAATTTCTATAAATACTATTTATACAAAGTTATTCCATACTTTTGGAACTTCTATTAATATCGTCTATCATAAATAAGTAATATTTTAGTTAAAGTTTATATGTGAATGTAACTACAAGTTCAAAAATGTTTAATACAATTATATACAATATACATACTAACTTAATACTACTAGTACTTTCCGAAATTTGAAATCAAATCTTGCTTGAAGTTTTTAAATAAGAATTTACTTTAAAACTCACGTAATCAAATATAGAAAATTTAGAAAAATACCATATTTGAAAAAATTGTGAATTCGAAATCAGAAAGGTCAGAATGATCTGAAATAAGTTATAAAATAATTTTGAAAATTCGGAAACAAAAAATTCCGCTACGAAATATTTAGATCATCCCCGAACCCCAAAGGTGAATACGCATACTTGGAGATTTGAAAAAATCCTGTCAGCCCTGGGATTCGAACTCAGACATCTTTGTTCAATACAAAAATGTCCTACTTCTAGACCATTAGATTTTTGAGATTTGTTTCCGAATTTTCAAATTATTTCTACCATATTTGAACTTGTAATTTCGGATAAATTCCACAAACATCTAAAGCCATCTTTATTGAAAAATAATTCACATATAAACTTCTAATTTTTGTTTTAATTAACATCAATTTCCTCACTATGAAATTAGTAAGTATAAAATCATCTGATAACACCTATTTTAGATTAAAATAAAAATTTAAATCTATAAATAATAAATATGGACATTTTTAACGATTTTTTGTGCTTACAAACATTCATATACTTGGGTTTTCGTTCGACAAATTTGGCATTTGACATAACAACAGTTGTAAAATTTGCACTGGCATCTTTCTATCTTTTCGTCAACTACTGTACGATATCCTCTTCCGCAACACAGCTGTCTGCAACTTTCTGGGCCGCTCGTCGATACGTTGCATTGCCTAAAAATATGATAAATATTACAAATAGTTCAATTATTAACACATATATTATACAGGGTGTCCGCAAAGATAATACTAAAAGAGGTGATAAACCAACTCATAAGCTTTCAGAAACACTTAATATGACCTTAGTAAAAAAATCTATGGCTTTCGAGATATTGCCACTTTAATAAAATCAGATTTTCGAGTGTCACTCCTAAAATGTATAATTCTTAGATTCTGATTTAGATTTTGCAACTGTGAATAACCATTTCATTAAACAAAGATCAACATTGAACCGAAAGTTCAAAATATTCAATAAGAAATCTTATTTTACAGAGAAATAATTTATTTTTATTTTTCATCACTCAAATTTAACACCTCATACTGTACAAAAAAAGGTCTACACTAACCTGACTAGTGATTTGAAAAGTTTGCTCATTTAATGTACTTTTCAAAACTACCCATTGTTCTAATAAACAGTTTACTATTATTAACTTACAGTGAAGGATATACCTAAATCGGCCGATCCATCTGTAGGGATAGGTTTGATTTGAATACGCACGAACTTGATGTGCATAATGTGCCGGGCAGCCATCATATTGAAACCACATTCTTCGACGTGCGGCCAAAGGAACATCTTCCAAAAGAAGCGGTAGGTGGGTTTGACAAAAATGTAAATAAGCTTGCCAGTTCAGATTTTCTAGTAATTCGAATGGACCAATTACATGTCCGTTTAGGATACCAGTCCACAGGTTTACTTTGAAACGGTACTGGGACCTTTCTTCTCGAATGGAGTGGGGATTTTCCAACGCATAAGAATGCAAATTGTGCATGTTTATAAAGCCATCCTTTTTAAATGTACTCTCATCCGACCACAGTACTTTGTTTATAAAGTTCGGGTCCTCTCTATTTTTTTGCAACATTCTGCGGCAAAACCGTACGCGTTGTTCGTAGTCCCAAGGCAGCAGGGCTTGTACACGTTGCACGTGATATGGGTGATATTGATATCTCCTAATGATCTCGTTTACTGTCGATTTGGGTATTCCTGTTCGTTTTTCTATTGTTCTCGCCGAAGTAGTCGGATAGTTTTCAATTTCTTCTAAAACTTGAACATCGTACTCAATGCGGGGTCTTCTTTCTCGAACGGGAGCGTGAGGAATCCTGCACTCCGAATATACGCGATGAACATTGATAAACACACGATAATCAGGATATCGTGCCAAATTTGGATCACTGATGCAGACAATACCAATGTGATTCCAGTGTTGCGCATGATACAGGTAGAGAGGTTTGGAGGGTAGGCAGAGACTTGCACCCAGAGAGCTCTGAGTCCCTCACTCTCAGACGCGATGGAAACAAGCACTGGGGCCGAACATGAGTTTCCTCGCCAGGCAAAAAAAAATCACAAGACATTGTCCAACTATACAATCTTTTCTCTAGAGCAATCACAACAGTAGCACAAAAATGCTAGCATTTCCACACGACACTCAACTCACTTTCAAAGAGATCAATTTCAACCTCCAACCTTTTGTTTTACATGCACTTCACTTCTCTTTGAAACAATAAACAACCCTTTTGTAATGTGGAGCCACGGGAAAAAAAGACGTCCAGGATTTCCTAAACCATTTGAACAGTTTTCATCCTAAAGTCCAGTTCACCATGAAAAGAGAAGAAAATCGACAATAGCCAGAAAGATCCCGAAACAAACAACTACATTGACGTCGGTCTTAAAAACCTAAATTCTTACAGTTTCATAATGTTCAACATTATGCAACTGTTTGCATAAAGTAGATCATTTTAACACTTACTGCCATTACAAAAAAATGTCACTTTATATGTCAAAATTAGAAAAATACTTTTATCTAAGAAATCAATACGAAAGTTTTCCATAATGTGGAAAAAATTTGACTTTCTGCATAATAATATATTCACGTAAATACCTATAAATTATTTCCCTTTCTCCGCCTATGGTTCGTTTAAATTTTTAAAACAAGGGTAGCGTAGCACGTCGTTCCGCATCGGGCACGGACCCTAATTTAAAATAATGACCTACGATTTTTCCCTAACAATTCAGTTAATTTATTGCAATTATGTGATCGAATTCCTCATAACCGAATAAAGAAAGCTACGTTGCAATTTTTAAGGTTGTTCGGCAGAAGCTTTTAGAAAAAAATAGTGCCATAAAGAATGAAATAAACCAGTTTTTAGTTGGTGCAATTAGCCGATATAATTCTTTGGATTGTATGGATAAGTTTGCGTTTTTTTTTATAATTGCTATTCTTTTTTGTGATTTATTGTTGACAAAAATAATGTGACTTGAAGGAATTCAGCGTTTTGATGTGCTAAATTACGTTTTCAGGTCGTATACAGATTTTTAGAACAAATTAGTATGAGGGACGTAAATAAAAACATATTCATTAATAGACAGCTCATTAATTGACAGTTTCTAGTGGCAATTAAAGAAACAGAATTCATCAAAATTTAACATGAAGGTATCGCTCTCAATAAAAATTTTAACAATAATTGCGAATAATGAAGAAGAACATCATTACTAGAAGAATAGATTCACTTTTCCAAAGGATGAAATCTGATGAAATATATGTAATTACACAGGTCTGCAACCAAATATTTTTTTGACTGTTTCATGTAGGTATTTTCTCACTAAAACCAGGAAAAATATTTAAAAAATTCCATCACGACAGGTTTTCTTGCAAAAGTCATATTGACACTCCCATATTTAGAGTTTCACCAAAAACTTAAGTCTTTAGTGGAGAGCAGAGTATCTTAAAAGATTTCACCAGGATGTCCGAGATTTCGATGGACAATACCAAGGAAGTTGGGATATCAACATTCTAGCTGATTACTGGATGCTCAGTAGGAAACTCTATGGAGTGCGTAAAGTTGTACTTTTTGCACTAGTGCGTAAAGTAAATTTTTTTACGCAATAGTGAATAAAAGTAAAATTTGACAAAAAATGTACATAGCATTAGTGAAAAAAAGTAACTTTTATATTTCTAATATTAGTGGATGTGTACGGCAGTAGAAAAAATATTGTATACAACTTGTGTATAACTTAACACACTCGTTGCATAAATAACTATTTTTATTTCTTTTTTTAATTATAAGAAAATCATGTCTAATTATTATTTGTAATACAATATTGATTTTTTAAAGTAAACACCCATTTTGCACAAAAGCCATACGTGATGGACGGAAATAAAGGTAATTTTTGGGATCCGGCACCTTACAAAATATAAAATTTACCAAAAATATCTCATGCAGCGCAATATTTTTTTGTAGATTTGTGTTATTTGAAAAAGCTTCTGACTTTGACTTAGTAACCGGTGAAATTTAAAACCAACTTCCAAAGAAAGCAATTGTAAAACTAACTCATCTAATTAATGCATCATTTAGACTAAGATACCTAAACCCTTGAAAATTGCAGAAGAAAATTGCTTTGAAAACCAGGCAAACCTTAACGAATTTCATCTCAACCAATTTATTTAAGTGTACAGCCTGTAATATCGAAACTATAAATATGACAAAACCTCAGTTTACCAGGATTTCACATTGGCACAGGATGTAGATTGATGTTTCCTCTTCTTCTTTTCAGAACCTGCACACTGTTAGTTTTTCCGCTGGATTGATGACATTCATGTACCGTCGTAGGCGACAGAGCCCGGTAACGGTAAGAAGACCTACTGTTTGTCCTTGATGTGTGTTGAAGATCTATCATTCCGATGTTGTTAACTAGAGGATAATGTCCTGTATTTCAGTCCCTAGATCGTCCCTACTCTATTCACCGATCTGAGCACACGCGTTTATAAAAGGGTTGAATATAAATGCCTTCAATTGAATTAGCCCTGGTGGATAAATATTACACAACCTCTGCCCAGTTTGACATAATTCCTTTAACAATGTTCTGATCCTATGAACTCAAATTCGGTTCCTTTCTTTGCGAGCACGTCAGCTTTTTCATTGCCCACCATTCCGCTATATCCCGGAACCCAGATCAAAATAACTTTGTTCCGGGTACCAAAGGCACTTTATGAAATTTATAGTTTATATATAAACAATGTAACTCACCTTCCTACCGTCCCAAAACTTCCTAATTTATCATCTTTTGTACAATAATCTGGACTTTTGGAAATATAAACCAGCAGCTGCGTGCTGGCTGCTTTTTTAACTCTTTTAGCAGTTTTTTCGGGTATAATTTCGCCAAAAGCGTCTCCATATACTTTTATTGCGTTGGTATACTTTTCTAATAGCCTGACGCCGATTTCTGACATAGGAGGAAGCGCCTTCCAGCAGGTTTTAATATTGCAAGAACCCGATACACCATGGCACTTGCATTGCGTTCTTAAACTCTCAACCATAACCTAAATGATATAAAATATGGATCAGTAATCTAAATTGATTAGTTAATAGACAACTTGTATTTTACAGAAATCTGTTACCTTCCTACCCACTCTATTATTGTGTAAATTAACCGCTGCCACAGCATTTGTCCCCACAGCTTCGTCGCTCTGCATTTTGACAACCTTCTTTGAATCTGTGATTTCTTTACTCCTTTTTTCCAAAGTGTGTTTCTCTACGTTATCGATGAACCTCCTTGTAAACTGAGCTCCCCATTGCACGTTGTCACCGCAGCCTCCCCATTGGAATTGACCGTTGGGAACTGCTGGGGGTTTGCTGGCGCACGTGCAGTGATAGAGGGCGCCGCTCGAACAGGCACGTGCCATTGTGTAGGTCAGAGCTGCCGAACTGATTGCGTACACGTAGGCTTGTTCCCGAGTTGCTGAAAATAAATAAGCAGAATTACTATTCTTCTTTCACTTTAATTAATCTATTTTTTAAATTCATTTAACTTTCAAATCATAAAATATTCGTTGGAAAATTGGTCACTGCGGGGTTCCTTCTACCAGCGACCTGCACGCGGGGCACGTATAAATTTCCCTTCGGTATTTTCTCAATCCTTTTACGATACTATTTGGTACTTTTTCCAAAGTTGATAATTTATTGCAAAACTTTACTATAAAAGAAAACTCCTTTTCCAAAAATTGACAAATCAAAGTGTAAAATCAAACTGCAGAGAATTAGTATAACCCAGATCTAAAACAAAATTTTAGGCAAGAGAATCTAACGATTGCTATCAAAACCTAATTCAATAGAACCGAGAGAAAACTGCCAGAGAGATTCGAGGAAAAAACTACACCCTTTTACAAAAGGTAAAACAAGAACGCTATCAACCCGCAGAATCATGCACAGTACATGTGCGGAGAGCGATTTACAGCCTTTAGTTGACCTTGCAGTTATGCGCTTGTCAATATTCCTAGAAGAGGTCCTGATATCATTGAAAGAACAAGAACGAGATAACCTGAAGATAATTTGTAAATGCTGTTGCGATGGATCTCAGCAATTTCAGTTCAAACAAAAATTTGAAAATGATGCCAACTCAGAAGCAAAGATATTTCAGAGCTGTTTCGTTCCTCCATGATTGGTTTGTGGTAAAAATGAAAAAATTGTATGGGCAAACCCAACACCCTCTTCTCTACGGTATTGTCGACCTATAAGATTCCGATTCGTTAAAGAGACTAGTGACATAACAGAAGAAGAAATAACTTTTGTGAAAAAGTCGCTAATCACAATTTTTGGTTAAACATGTTTTCATTGTGACAATGGTAGACGGTATATTTTAAAAACCAGATTAATCATGAAGCTACAGTTCTACATGCAAGGATTCGTGTTAAAAAATAATGAGGTGGTATAAGCGGTAGATCTAGACCTTACATACTCAAATATCAATTTAAAAAAGTGCTAAAATTGTCCAATATTAGAAATATATAGAACTATTTCTTCTGGATGTTTTGCAATCAGAACTGTGACTAAAGAAATAGTTTTTAAACCAGCTAAAAATGTATATTACGCTCTAGTTGAATCCCATTTAAGATATATAACTCAGATTCATAAATTATTCAAAGTAAATACATTGATTGTTGTGGAAACTCAAAACAAATTAATTTTTTTAACAAACCAATTTTTTGTAATTGTGTATACCCTGTATGCCACTGGTAGTGCATATATTACTGAATGCATTAGTAATTCTGCACACGAAATTGGCTAATGAACGAACAGCAAGTCAATAGGGGAGGAACACTGCACCTTCGCGGAATGGGATCCGTTTTCTGGCAAACTTTCTAATCTTTTCAGACAATATACTTTTATTTTCATAACAATGACTATGAAAAACGGGAAGAAAAGTCCTATAATACGTGTCGGGAAAAGCAAACATTTCTTTTTTTCTCGACGTGCTTGATTAAACGGAAATTGCATTTATTCAATCTCTGGTAATAAAAGGAAAAGATTATCTCTATTTCAATGAATATATTGGTATTATTGCTTTTATAGATAGATCCTCAGGAATACTATACAACACAGTAAAGATTAAGGAGTTAGAATTTAAAAAATATTACCAAAATATGCACATTTTGAAATATGTTCAATTACAATGTGTGTGCAGTGGTTGACTGGCATCGGGATTAACCCATTTGCCACAGACATTATTATTTTTATTACAATTGTTACCACTGATTGTTAATTGTTATTGGTTTATATGTTAATTTTAGATTCTTTAATAAATGTTATCAATGTATTAAATACTTTTTTATTGTTTGAGATCAATAGCAACGTAATATTGGTTGGAAAAGAAATCCCTATATCTAATAACTTCGTTAAAAATTTTTTTCTATATTTATTGTGGTTGTTACATGCAAATATCAAATGATTAAGATCTCCTACTGAATTATTATCACAAGAACAGAAGGGTGTCCTTAGGACACCGATCTTAAATAGGTGGGAAGGAAACCCACCATGGTTCAACCTCATCCTAGTAATGTAAATAGAATACTGTCTGGATACTTGAAATTCAGAAATGTGGGAAACAGTATTAGATGTATTAGGCTGAATTTGTGTGTAATGATTGTTTGAATTATTGTTATGTTTGAAATCAATCCAGATCTTTTCCCAATTGATTCTTATTTCTTTTTTAAAGCAATTGATAATATCGGGAACCGTGTAAAGTTCCTCGCAATACTCTAAGTTTGTGGAATCTTTTGCAGCGAGATCTGCCATTTCATTACCAACTATTCCCACATGAGCTTTAACCCAACAAAAAACTATATTTGTATCACTATTTTTAAGGTTGATGAGTTTTTCTCTTATTAGTTTTACTAAGTGGTTGGAATTTATGTTTGTAGGATGTTTTTTGATAGACTGTAATACCGACAATGAGTCTGTTAGAATTACGGAATTACCAGCGTTATTATTTTCTATCCATTTCAGCGCATGTAAAATTGCGTTTGCTTCTGCCGTAAAAACAGAACATATATCCGATATTTTAAATTTAGATGTTTGATTAAGATTGGAAACATAGAACCCACAACCAGTTCCCTTTTGGGACTTAGAACCATCGCAAAAGATGGTATTATATCTTTCAAAACTAGTAAGTATATTTTTTAAAATGAAATTATTTATTAGTGGAATATCTGAAAATTTTTTAGTAATCACTGTTGGTTTAAAAAAATTTTTATAATATTCAGAATTTGTATTAACTAAAGGGCTGTATTTTTTAATATTTGTTACTAGGTGGTTAGTAGAAACAAATGCTTCTGCCAAAGGAGGGCTGTTTTTAAATGTCCAATACTTGTTTATGAGGTTATCGATAGATAGTTTATATATGGAATCTGTTATGTATTCACAAGATGAAACCCTTAACATTATTATTTTCTTTTGGGCCAAAAATTGTCTGCGGATTGAAAGGGGAGGTTCCTGAGCCTCTACTAAAACTGCCGGCGAGGGCGACGATTTAAACGCACCTAAACAAATTTTTATTGCTTTTAATTGAATTCTGTCTATAATTAATAAATTAGAGTTGGATGCGGATCCGTAAATAATACATCCATAGTCAATTATAGATCGTATATAGGATCTGTAAAACAAAAGTGAGGTTGTGGGGTCGGCGCCCCAATTCCTCTTAGCCACACATTTTAAAACATTTATACCTTTCTCACATTTACTTTTAATATGTTCTATATGTATTTTCCAAGTTAGTTTTTTATCAAGAAAGACACCCAAATACTTGTAATTATCTGTAACGGGAATGTAATTCTCACATAATTTGATTGTATCCCCCATAACCAGCCGATGACGTGTAAAAACCATCACCGCCGATTTGTTCGGGGATAAATCCAATGAATGCTCGTTTAACCATCCTTGGAGGCAGTACATTATATAACGCAGATCACTAATACATTGGTTATAAGACTTGTGGATTGTATATATACAGATATCATCAGCATATTGAACAACTCTAATATTTTGATGAAATATTTTATGCAAATCTAGGGTATAGATATTAAAGAGTAGTGGGCTCAGAACTGCTCCCTGTGGAATTCCACAGTTTACAATTCTTGGCCCATGTAGGTTATTAGCGTGGTCTCTGATAAAAATTTTGCGGTTTCTGTATAATTGTACAATATTGGCGGAAGCATTTGATTGTAGCCCTAAAGAAATTAATTTTGATTCTAGGATGTCCAAATTAACAGAATCATAGGCAGCCTTGAGGTCTACGAAAAAACAAGCAAGATATCCATTATCTGAAAAGGTATTTTGAATATCAGACACTAAATGTATTAAGGCATCTGCAGTTCCTTTGCCTTTTCTAAAACCGTATTGAGAGGGAGGAAGTAGTGTTTTAGATTCTAGAAACCATTCTAATCTAGATTTTATGATTCTTTCGAATGTTTTTGCTAAGCATGACATTAATGATATTGGACGGTATGAAGTGGGATCATTAGGATCTTTTTTTGGTTTTAATATGAATATTAGTATGGTTTCTTTGAATTCCTGAATAAATTTACCATTTATCCACCATTCATTATATATTTTTAAAAGGTATTTTTTTGCTGTTTCGGGTAAATTCCTGATCATGTTGTAGCTGAAACTATCTTTCCCCGGAGAAGTACATCGTGAAATTTTAATCGCAGAATCAAGTTCTTCTATAGAAAAAGGGCCAGACAAAACATTATTTTGTATTTCGTAATTTTCTGATGAGTATATTTTGGGTTCATTAACTACAAATGGAGGAGCTATTCGTTCAAATAGCTTTTCTATTAGATCCTGTGGTAGAACTGTTTTATTACTTGTAAAGTTTTTGTTAGAAATTTTTTTAATGTATTTCCATATTTCGGAAATTGGTGTATTTTTATTTAAACTGCTTATGAATTGTTTCCAGCTATTTTGTTTTTTATTTTTAAATAAAAGTTTTGTTTGTGCTGAAATTTTGTTATATTCAATAAAATTTTCTAGGTTTGCCTTTTGTTTATATTTTCTAAGAATATTTTTTCGAAGTTTAACTATTTGTAAACATTCATCATCCCACCAAATGGGTAGGGCTTTTGGATTATTTGAAGGTTTTTTTTGGGGCATAGATAGATCGGCAGCTTGTGTTAATATGTTTGAAAAATATTCAAAGGAACAGGGTTCTTCGGTTTCTATTAAAAAATTATTTATATAACAGTGAAATTTGTACCAGTCAGCTTTCTTATCGTTCCACATTGTACTTGGGTTAATACTAGGCGTGTTAAAGTTCCCTGTAATATTTATAGAAATTGGAAAGTGATCTGATCCCATAGTGTCAGACAGAACTTCCCATTCAATATTACCAATTAAATCGGCTGAAACCATAGTAAGGTCTACTGCTGAAGGTGGAGAATTAGGTCGGGAAATTCTAGTAGGAGATCCATCATTCAATACTATTAAGTTAAGATTATCAATTGCGTCAACAAGAGAATTACCACTAGATTCATTCAGGCTACTTCCCCACAAAGTGTGGTGACAGTTAAAATCTCCACATATAAGTACGGGAGGTTGAAAAAATGATAATAATTTTTCCCATTCATTTGGAGTAATTTTGTTATTTTTTGATGAGTTGTAAAGACTTACTATTGTTAAATTTGTTTTTTCAAGAACAACTGCACACACTTCAATTTTTTTATTATATAACGTGTTTATTTGAATTTCTTTATGTGTGATGTTTTCAGAAATGAGAATAGCTACTCCTCCGTGTTCGTCTTTTCTATCTTTACTAATTAAATTGTATCCTTTGATATAAAAATTGCTGTGTTTTTTAAACCAGGTCTCAGATAAAACAATAACATTTACTTTATTATTTGATAAATAATGTAATAAATTAGGGCGTTGTTTTACAATGGAACGAGAATTCCACTGCAAAACTGATAATGTTTCAGTAAGAGGATTTAGCGGATTCATTGTCACTGAAATCCATATCGCTATTTGATTCTAAGATTGTAGATATTTTGTCTCTTATATTATTATCAAGCTGATTGGTAACTCCTTTAAATGTTGGTTCATTAACTAAAAGTGAGTGAACACACTGTATAATGTTTTCGATTATATATTCTTTAATGTTTTTATATTTTAAATATTCTTCCCTATAGGGGTTGGGGGTTATTGGTTGAGAGGGATAGGAGGGTCTACTCTGATAGATTTCAATTGAAGGACTTTGTAGGGGAGATGACGATTTTCGTTTTTTAGGAAGAGGCAGAACAGTCGTTTTCTGTAATTTATTTTTTTTTATTATAGTTGTTTTTTTATTAGGGTTAGTTAAAATATTTTGACTTCTAGAGCTAGTACTTGTATCTGGAAGGGAGGGAAAATTCTCCTCCGTTGTAAGTAATGAAAATCTGTTTTTTGTTGTTATTTTAGCATAGGATGGGTTATTAGCTATAGCTTCGGCTTCCTTAAAGGATGTATTTTCCACAGCCATAATTGATTTTATGTTTTTTTGTTTTTGATACATAGGACACTCTCTAGATATCGAAGTATGATCGGGACTATTACAATGTACACAAATTTTTTCATTTTCACAATTCTCAGATGAACAGTTTTGCTGACTACAATTCTGGCATTTGCGTTTCCCTTTACATTGCTTATTTGTGTGACCATATCGAAGACAATTAAAACATTGGACGACCGGATAAATATACGGATCAACTACGAAATTTACCATGTTAATTTTTACCGTTTTCGGTATTGTATTTCCCAAAAAAGTAACAAAAACCATTTGCCTATCAACAAAAGTAATTTCCTTAGTAATATCATTAATAGTTTTTCTTTTTAATCGTTTAACCGAGATGACTTTAATAATAGATTCTATATTTTCTTTTATATAATCTTCACTAAAATAAGTATCGACCATTTTAATTACGCCTTTTTTTTGTGTGAAGAAAGTGGGGATGTATGCTATTAAATTATTTTGTTTTATTATATCGTGTTCAACTAAGGAGTTGGCAATTTCGTAATTTCTAAAAATTATTTTAACTTTGTTTAATCCAATTGCTTTAATGTCCTCAATGTTATTTTTAAAAGTATCAATATTCCGCAAAAAATGTCCAATTCTAATTGGAAAAAGGCGACCTATGTTTTTTTCTCGGTGTTCTATGTGTACATAGTAAGGTCCGCGGTCGTTAATTCGATATCTATTGCTAAGGTCGAAATGAAATTGATTTTCTGCTTGTAATGTGATATCAGAATTAATTTGGGGCGGCGGCTCGCCGCCCGAAGAGCTACTCATTTTTTGAATTAAAAATAAACTAAATTTTTTAACTTTACCAAAGTATCAAATAAATTAAATTAAAGTGAATTAATGTAAAGAATACCGGTTACTTATCTTTAGGGATCTATCGCTTATCGGGTACCACTTAAACACATCCGTACACTTCGAGTGTTCGAACTAAACTGTTCAATTACAATAGTACATACTCAAGCACAAAATGCCTGAAGATACATTTATTCAATCATTTAGAGCATTTTTAATCAGAAAATATTCTAGTGTGAAGCTAAAATATTTAGTTAAAAAAGCAATCACTTTTAGTATTAATAACAAATTCCCTTTGGGGTTGATTGACGCCCTATTTGACCTTGCAAGTCGTTCCTTCTAAAATTCTTCTTCTGTAAAATTATTACGTATGAAATTAGAAAGGTTTACATGTTAAGGTAACGATGAGTGTTTTATGGTACCTAACTTACTTACCTCTCGTTAAATCCGGTGGTAAAAAAGGTGCCATAAAAATCGAAGAACAATTCCATCGTCTATTCATGAAAACGCTTCTGCACGTCTCGGAAGCCAGTACAGCTGCTGCTTGAACATGAGGCATCACCTCCATTGAGTGTCGGCACAATTTAGCTTGGATCTTTACGAAACCATATCGTCGTCTCGCTATCGTACAAGGCGATCTCACTCCTGACCTGATACCCCTGCCTGGATTGTTGTTTAAAGATGACAAATTCCATTGAAGATGGGACTGCTGAAGGGATCTGGAATGAAATTATTTAATGAAACAAGAAACTAAAAGATTTAGAGAATGTTTTAATTAATTATTACTTTACATCTCCAAAGAATTCTTGATTGTTTTTGTATTTACTAGATGAAAATCCATATTGTTTAAATTAGAAAAACCAAACTTGTATTTACAATCAAGAATTTAAAAGAAGAAAAAACTAGATGAAGAACTAAACTTCAAAACTGGAAAAGTTTTCAGACCAATGCGTGTTAAAAAATAATGTAATTACGAGAATGACGATAAACCAATTACAGATATAGAAAGGGTTTTTAAAATAAACAATTTTTTTTAATAATCTTCATATCGTTATAACATCAATTAATGGATAATTTCAAATTTTCAGATTTACTATAGTCTATTTTTATGTATGAGAGAGTATTAAAATAATAAAGCGTTCGTAATCCATAGGCGTATCACTTCTTTTAGTAGACAGTTAAAATATTTTTTGAAGTTATTCCTCGAGTATACATTTATATTTTCACCACCTATAATTAACCTGCTTATAACTTCTAAACAGCTGAAGGTAAAAAAGTGCAATTTTTTCTAAAATGTTTTATTTTTCAACAAGGTATATTAAGAACATTGTCTCAAACGGGTTATGTAGGTATAAGGGTTTAAACTTTGACTTTTAAATAACGTTACGTTCATAAATAATAATTTTAATATAAAAACTACTTATTACCTACAAATCAGAATCGAAATCAGAAGATGAACTGTCGCAACCAATATTTACAATGAGTGGCTCGATCATTTCATCAGTAATATTGTCCAACTTCCACATTTTCTCTTCTTCTTTAATCGTATGATTTACTGCCTTTTCCTCTCGCTTTTCCCAGTTTACAGCCTCCAAAAACAACTGTTTAACATCACTCATTTTAAAAGAATTATTTTTTCTTGAAACTTCTCCCTTTATCTGTGCCCATATCAGTTCAATCGGGTTTACTTCGCAATGATATGGTGGTGATCTAACCACCGTCATCCCACGATTTTTTGCAATTTCATCAATTTCATATTTTTTGAATTTCTCTTTATGAAGGGAATACAAATGATACAGTTCTTTTCTCACAGAACCGGGATGGAACTTAATATTCTTTGAATTTAGCCAATTCTGTAAATCTTTTTTTAGCCACTTGGTTGTGGGCATTTTTTCTATAAGTCTCGAGTGATAACTTGCATTATCCATTACTATTATACAGTTCTGAGGAAGAAGATCTATAATTTGTTCGAACCACTCTTTAAAGACATCAGCATTCATGTCCTCATGGTAGTCACCGGTACGAGTAGATTCAAAAGTCAATAAACCACCTTTAACAAAACCGTTTGAACTACCGATGTGTACTATTATTAGTCTGCGCCCCTTTCCTGATGGTGGATTTAAACCAGTAGATAAATTATTTAAAAAAGCCTGTCTTCGACTTGTAACAGTTTCATCTTGCCAAAATTTATTTGGTTTATGTCCCTCGTTGATCCATGTTTCATCTAAATTAAATATATTTCTTTTATAGTCCTTTCTAGTAATTTCTTCTCTATACTACAATATCGCTTCTTTCTATTAAAATAGACTTTCCGGAATGCTTTTTCCATAGAAAACCAATTTCTTTTAAAAGTTTCCATAGTGTGCTTCGACTCATTTCAGGGTAATCCTTATCATCTCGAACCGTGGCAGGAACTTTGTCTACTGTCGGAAATTCTTTTCTAAAGAAGAACGCATGCACTTTCCTTCGAAATCTTTCTTTCAAAAGATTTTCTAATTTAAATTTTGGTTTTCCTGGAGCTTTACGTGCTGTTTGAAACTCGCCACATTTCTCTTCTTTAACAACTCTGTAAATCGTAGATTTCCCAACAACAAGCGTACTACTAACTAATTCCACTGTGTCATCAACACTTTTACATAAATGTTTGTCTGTAAATGATTTAAAACAATTAAATATTAATGTTTTTTCATTAACTGTTAAAGGACCGATTTTTTGTCGTTTACGCGGCCCTTCCAAATTTTCCATGATCACACTAGAATTCACACTGCACCTTGCAAGTTGCAACTAAACGACATTTAGTAAACTGTCAAGAATACACACAACTTGGACCTCCTTACTAAATGGAAAACCTATAATCGCATTTTCGGTGAAATTTGTTGGGAAGGTATTTATCTACTTATAATTCGATTACTGTAAGAAATTCTTGGAATTAAAATAAAACAAAATTGGCAAATAGGTACTTATTGAAAATAATCTTAAGATACGGCTATGTAATCTTTAATACACAGGGCTTTTGGCCTGTCCAAACCTTTTTCTATTGTTCTGTACAGCTTATGTTTATAAAGGACCAATAAAAGACCCAAAACTTGTAATAGCTCAGGTACATTTATTACAATTTTAGGAAATATTTAGATTATTCTGTAAAAATATTTAAAATGACCGTACTAAGTTTTGCATTAGAAATGCTGTTTTATTACTCTCTCATACATAAAAACAGACTATACGTATAATTTTCCAAGGAAATATTTTTTGTGGATTACTCTATATAAAACGGTAATATTCAAGTAATCATAAATATCTTAATCATAATTTATGGTCTATGGCACAGTAAAACTGGTACTATAAGGGCTACACCAACTGCACCAATGAGGATCTTATTAAACCTCACCATACTGCACATTTTATAAGAAGAATCTAGCACTAGAAAATCCAAATAAGCCGTCCAAATATCGCCGAATATGCAAGGATATGTCAGCAAGTAAAAAAATAAGATTCCAGGAAAGTCATCTGATATAACCTCAACCAAATACAAATTTAAAATGAGTTTTTGAATTTAAATACCAGCTTGAGAAGGCTGGACACAATGACAGGCTGGAATTTATGGAATACACAGACGAATCAAAAAAGTAAAGAACCATAAGACGAAAATTTTATTAAATATATATAACTCTAAAACAGAATGATATAAACTAAACTTGTAATAGCTCAGGTACATTTATTAGAATTTTAGGAAATATTTAGAATATTCTGTAAAAATATTTAAAATGACCGTACTAAGTTTTGCATTAGAAATGCTGTTTTATTACTCTCTCATACATAGAAATAGACTATAGAAAAGAAGCAACTAAATTGTTGTTTACAACTTGAATAAGTTTTAACGGACAAAAATCGCAATGAGCTTGACACAAACAGAACAGAATTTTTACATGAGTTTTTAAAAATCTTACAATGCAAACACCAAAACAAATGAGACCTGTATGTTAGTTTTTACATTATTTATAATAAATGTAGTTGGAATGTTCTACGTTTTTTATTTCTCCTGAAAATATTCTAAAATACAGCCGTTAAAAGCCCAATATTGTAAAATACAGACCATGTACAGCATTATTTTCCATCTAGCTTGATGATGATAGCCATTGGCCGAAACTAATTTCCGTACTAATTAAAACAATTTTCTATAGTGGTCAAGACTATGTGTTTTATTTTTCCTTTATAAAAATAAACGTTAAATATTTTAAAATTAGTTTTAATCAAATTTTTTTGTTCAATTTTATGGCTTATTAAAGTTAAAGTACCTAAATGTCATTTAAACGAATATATACCAACTAAAAAAATGGGACACACATAAGCAGGTTTAAGTAATCAGTACATCCAATTAATAGGTAGATCTTGCTTATTTTGAGATTTGGATAGCTTAACGGTACTATTTAAGTTTATTATATTTGTCTATTAACTCGAGTTTCTTCATCTCTTGTAGATAAATTTAAGTACCTATTGTTTGAAAGGTTCCCATCAATGCAATGGGCCGTATTATATAGTTTTTATTAAAAATGGTTATTTAATTATATCAACACTTACAAAGCAATAAGTAATTAAACATTTTTAGTAATTTTGTCTCGAAATATATAAAAAAAATCCTAAAACAAACACGAAAAGCGATATCAACATGAAATTTTAGGTAAAAATCAAGCTCTATAAGGAGATGAAGTCTATTTATTCTGAAAAATCTGAATAAAAATAAGGGTTAAGGGAGGTTAAAATAATGAAAAAATCCTAACTCAAAAACTTGAAATTTTCAGGACAAAAATCAAGGATGAAGCCCATTAATTTTGAAAAAATATTAAAAATATAAGTTTACAGGGAGGTTGAAATTAAAAAATAGCTAAATCAAAAACGAAAAGCGACATCAACATGAAATTTTTAATAAAAAACAAACTAATGTAAGGGAAGAAGTCTATTGATTCTGGAAAAAATCTGAATAAGATGGGGGGTTAAAGAGGGTTGAAATATTTTAAAAAATCAGTACCTATCACATAGACTTATTAAATTTTGACAACCGGTTTTTAAATAGTAATCCTCATGCCTAAGGCCTATAAATGATGTCAAAAATATTTTATAATAAATGGTTATAAATATTATGGCTACAACTTTCGTTTCTAGGGTTTACTGGAAAAACCTTCTTCCGAAGTATTGAAGATTAATGAGGTCCTTGTTGGACCTCAATTGTTATGATGGTCTAAGGGATTGGGTTTGAGGTCCCATTCATTGGCATGTCAGATGGAAAGGTAAGCCAGCAGACGACATAATCATGGTAGTAAACGGTAAATTTTGGTCTGTTGTATCTGAAAGGTTGCAGCGGACACTAAATATCGTCGAAAGATAGTGTATAAAAGAGGGATTGTCCACAAACCTGACAAAAACCTCTATTGTTGCGTTGCTTTCACAAGAAAAAGGACCCTTCAAGGAATGAAGGAGCTTTATTTGTGGGGGCAATATCTAAAAATGGCAAAAGAAGTTAAATATCTTGATGCCAAGCTTAGCTTCTGCAGCCATATATAAAAACAACAGAAAAATCTGTAAGAATACTATGGGCTTATAGAAACATAGGATCTTGGACACCAATGCTTTTTAAATGGAAAACGTGTAGTTCACTCTGGATAGTAGAGTGCTAGTGTGGACATTTAAGTAAAGATTGGACAAATATTGCTAATAATTTAAA